ACAGAGAGAGAGAGAGAGAGACTTGGGATCACGTGAGACCAGCCTGTTTTCGTGAGACCCGTGAGACCAGCTTTTTAAACTTGAAACTTCACAGCAAAATGCTGTGAAGGTAACCTTCACAGTGTTTTTGCTGTGAATGTTCGACTTTTTAAAACCTTCACAGTGTTTTTACTGTGAAGTTTCAAGTGTAAAAATGTGGTCTCACGGGTCTCACGAAAATAGTCTGATCTCACGTGAACCCAACCATATATATATATATAAGGGAGCGTTCAAATAAAAACCATCCAATTTGTATAAACCGTGGAAACCGCATTCAACCAATCATAATTTTTAATTTTGTTCATTTTTTTGTAATTATGAGAGGTTGATTAACCATTTTTATTGTGGAGGGTGTTAATCATGGATATTATCGTCTTCATTATCTTAATTTTAGATAAATACATGAAACAGTTTCATTAAATATTATATGAAACAATTTCATAACCATATATTAAACAAATTCATCAAAAAAAGTATTATATGAAACAATTTCACAAGATTAAACAATTTAATGAAAAATTTTCATAAGATTAAACAATGAAATGAACGTATGAGGGTGGTTTGTATGGTTTACACAAACGATGGAGGTTTTCATTTGAACGCTCCCCTATATATATATATATACATATATATATATATATATACACACACATACACACACACACGCTATATTATAAATCATTTGACAAAAACTCTTAAAAACGATTTTTTATGCATGAAGTACTGTTTACTGATGCATATTACTTAAAATTTAAAATTACAAGTAAATTGTGCATAAGTACAACTTATTAAAACTCCATACTTGAATTCGTCTAACTAATTGCAGATAAACATAATCAAGTATTGGAAAAACATCTCATTGTAAATATAAAAAAAAATATAAAATATAATTAGGATAATCATTGATAACTAACAAAATACTTAGTTATTATCTTTATAAAAAAACTATATTATTAAACCTAAATTAAATTTCTT